TTGGATTTCAAATCAAGCAACTCAAGGATGGCACGTTCATAAGTCAAACCAAGTACACCAACGACATGTTGAACAAGTTTAACTTGGACAAGGCCAAGCCCATCAAGACACCCATGCCAACCAATGGACATCTTGATCTTGATCAAGGAGGAAAGGATGTTGATCAAAAGGTATATCGCTCCATGATTGGATCACTTCTTTACCTTTGTGCATCTAGGCCCGATATTATGCTTAGCGTGTGCATGTGTGCAGATTTTAAGCTAATCCAAAAGAATGTCATTTGATGGCTATTAAGAGAATTTTTTGATATTTAGTGCACACTCCTAATCTTGGCTTGTGGTATCCTAAGGGCTCCACTTTTGAGTTACTTGGCTATTCTGATTCGGATTATGCCGGTTGCAAAGTAACCCGAAAGAGTACTATCGGGACTTGCCAATTTATTGGTCAATCCTTGGTGTCTTGGAGCTCTAAGAAGCAAAATTCCGTTGCTTTGTCCATCGCCGAGGTCGAGTATGTGGCGGCGGCGCTTGCTGTGCCCAACTACTTTGGATGAAGCAAACACTAAAGGACTTTGGATGTGAGTTAACCAAGATTCCACTTTTGTGTGACAACGAGAGTGCCATTAAGTTGGCAAACAACCCTGTAAACCACTCTCGAACAAAGCACATAGACATTCGGCATCATTTTTTGAGAGACCACGAAGCCAAAGGAGATATCACCATTCATCATGTGAGCATCGAAAAGCAATTAGCCGATATCTTCACAAAGCCCCTAGATGAGACAAGATTTTGTGCTTTGAGGAGTGAACTAAATATCATTGATTCTCGTAACGTGGCTTGATACCTTGCACACACATTTTGTTTGATCTAGTTAGGAGAAAAGAATTAAGAAAACATCGTGTGACACTTTCAAAATCTATTTTATAATTTTCATGAGTGACTATTGCTTTGTGTTGGTTGAATGACACCTAGTCACTTGTGAAAAATGTTAGTGTCCATCATTTTTTTGCCCCACATGGTGTACTGAGTTCAAGTTTGAGGGTTTTTCAGTTTCCCTGCGTCGGAAGTCCCGACGTTTGCTGGGAGTCCCGACGCAGATTTGACTTTTTGACCGTGCTGAGTCGGTTGCCCTATTCATTTTTACCTGGCTCGGTCCTTTAACTTCGGTTATTTCCTCCCTCCTCCCCTCCCATCGCCCTCAATCTATCTCCACTTGACGCCATCGCCTCTCCTTGCGCTGCCCTCACTCCTCCTCGCGCTGCTGCATCACGCTCTGCCTGCACCTCCGGCCTGCCGGGAGCTCCGGCCCCTATTCCTTCTCATTGCGCCGCCGGAGGCCTTGCCGGCAGTCCCGACCTCCCCGCCCCCGTTCCACCGCCCGTGCCCTGGTATTTCCTCGGACCATGGTGGACATTCAGTTGGTGTGGTGGAGATTCCGTTGGTGGACGTGCTCACGTTCGTCGATTTGTTCGTGGCCTACGGATTTAGTTCTTCTTCGTCTCCTCCTTTCTCGATTCAAGGTACTACCGTGGCGTCCTAACCCTAACTCCAATGTATCTTGAGTTTTGACTCTATTCCTTCTTCCTCTCTACTCCTCTATCTCCCTTGTATGAATGTGTGTCGCGATTTGAAGCCCCATGAATGGGATGGTCACCTTGGGCGTCGGAGGTCCCAGAGACCGTCGGAGGTTCTAACCGTCGAACTCCCGACGCTAGGCCGGAACTCCCGGTTGTCGAAAGTCCCAACTATGGCCAGAACTCCCGACCCTAGGGTGACCACTCCATTCATGTTTCTTCAATTCTCGATGTTTGTTCGCTTCTCGTTGTCTTGGTTCTTAGTTCCCCTTCGTGTTTTCCGCAGTCATGGACGGTGGCAGTCCCTCGCGTCACAAGGAGAAGAGGTCCAAGAAGAACCAAGATCATGCCGCTGTCGGTGGATTTCATCACTTTCTCTCGCCTTCTTAGTTTGAATAACACCGACCGCACTGCAACTGAGTTGACTGAGTACGAGGATGTCGCTTTGGAGGAGTACCAACATATGTATCTTGATGGACACACAGCTGATGGACAGACGGTGTTTCTAAAGCCCTACTATTATGTTCTGAACAACATCCTACGATAGATCTTGTATCCGAAGGTAGGTGACTCCACCTTCCTTCGTGATGATTCACAGAAGGTGCTTCAGCGATTTGGAGATGAGTTTCAGAAAATTTCCATCAGCAGATATATTTGGAACAAGATACATGATGCTACTGAGGATCCAGTGAAGCATCTTCCCTATGCACCATATATTATGCATGTCATTGAGCAAGTATCCATCATCCAATTTCCCTCTGACACTCAGCACAATCTCCTAAAGATATCCAACAAGACCTCCATCATTGTTGCAAGAGAACTAAGGGAGAAAGGTGATGCAGCCAAAGCAAAAGGGAAAGGTGTTTTGGGTTCTCGCTCTCGCCGTGGTGCTTCACCACCTGCTGCTGCTGCTCGCTCTTCTAGTGCCGAGCCCCTCTCTTCGTCCTCCTCTAGAAAGAAGCCCAACAAGTTCAAGTTCCTAATGACATATATGTTTGGACAATGTTGTGCTAGTGCTCAATGTGAGCATGATATCCAAGAGAGGCTATATCGTTTGGAGCAGCACGTAGGTATTGTGTCCTCTCCTCAGCCGCCATTTGTGCCTCCTCATGATCCGTTGGCATTATATGATGAGGCATGTGCGGCGTATGAGGATGATGCCGCTTCTCGCCCTCATGGCAAGGGCAAGGCCGCCGCCGACGATGAGGACTACATGCAAGAGGATGATGACGACGACGATGATGACGGTGGTGACAATAATGGTGATCAAGATGACGATGATGACTACGAGGATGAGTAGTTGTATATTCACGCGGCCTACCCCTTTTGGCACTTGTTGACAAAGGGGGAGTGTTAGGCTTTGATTTCTCTTGTAATAAGTTAGTTGGTCTGTTTTGGAACTTTAAAATCTTTAGCGTGTATGAACTATGTCGTGTGGTGGCAAGATTGTGATGGACAACTATCTATATGTGTTTGTGATGAATGATTGTAGGACAAGTTATGGTTATCTATTTATCTTATTAGCTTATACTTGTCTCTACTTATGATGGTGAATGTATTTTGGATGGCCATGTGTTGCTTCAAATTCTATTTTGAAATCTCGGCCATCATATTCTGTTTTACTTGTTGTGTGAAATAACATGTCATATTTCATTTCTTTTCACGGATATATATTAGTTCACACACACTTGTTGCACCCCACGGATTGCAAAATTTAGGGGGAGCTTTTGTCTTGAGGTATGCAAATCATGTATAGATGATTCTAATTGATATTCAAATTCATACATACATCAAGGGAGAGCTCTTCATAAATTTTGGGGTTCAAAAGCTTTAAATTCTTTCATTCTTATAAAAGCCTAAGTTGGTTGTCATCAATTACCAAAAAGGGGAGATTGAAAGTGCATTTGCCCCCTATGTGGGTTTTGGTGTATTGATGACATCCAAATTAGGGACTAATGTGATCTTAATGACATATGTCGCAGCTATTAGTCCCATGAAAGAATCAAAGAGTTGATAAAGATGAAATGGTATCCCTCAATTTTTGAAGTAGTAAAGGTGGACGAACTCAAAGCGCTCTCCAAAGGTTTTATTTTTGCTTTTGAGTTTAGGATCCGTCGCACTATAAAGAGGGATGCAAACTTAGTTGGTCTGAGGAAGATAGAGTGCTCAAGCATAAAAATAAAATCAACAGAGAGACACTCTAGCACTCCACGAGCACGTAAGATTATTTTTCTATGACTGTCGGTGTCGGAAGTCCCGATGTAAGCCAGAACTCCCGACCGTCAGAAGTCATGACTCATGCCGGAAGTTCTGACTCCCAGTCACTTAGCCTGAGCGGTGACTGTGGACGTCGGAACTCCCGACGTGAGTCGGAACTCCCGACGGTCGGAAGTCCCAACCCAAGCCAGGAGTCCCGACACCGGTGGTTCTGCTGGCTGGCTGTCTGCGCCCGTCGGAAGTCCCGGACCTTGCCGGGAGTCCCGACACCTGGAGCTTTACTGGTTGACTGACTGCGCACGTCGGAAGTTCCGACACTGACCTGCTCGCGTGGACTTCTGACCCTTCATGAACAGTGTTTTCTGTTAACGTCGGAAATCCCGAGATCTGCGTCGAAACTTCTAACGTAGATCTGAATGGTTAGATTTCTACTAAAAGTTTAAATACCCATCTCTTCACTTCTAACCGTTACGGACTCATTCACAGCTGACCCACTTCGTGCTCAACAGCTCTCATATTAGGGTTGGACGTCCCCGATCAGAGCGCAGATCAAGAGCCTAGTAGGCCGACTAACAGAAAGACCACGTGAGTCCCACCTGGATTCAAGAAACAAGAGTTGAGCCTGCACGAACGCTTGGACGGTCTAGGTTTGCACAGTGCAGCCACTGTGTGCCGTCAGTCCAGGCTGCCTAGCGTGGTCGGTGACACTGCACGAGTGTGGTATTGTGGTTGCCGCGTTGCTATTTCAAACTGCCTTATCATGGCCGTTTTGTCTACGCGTGGCTGGGTTGTGCAACCACGCTTGTCCTGCAGCTAGCATAATAAATGATAGTCCCGTTACAACGCACGGACATATTTGCTAGTTAAAAAATAAAATAAAAAGACAACAATTGATCAACTCTACAACATACACGTCATACTGAGTGATCAAGTCCTAAAGTTAAGATCGGACGAGACAATAAAGCAGCAGCTCAGATATGGCAAAGCACGGAACTAATCAGATAATCAATTACTTCTAATACACAATTACACGCACACATACATGGATGGTCCTGCCAAACTGAGTAACTGGAGCACAAACGGTGAACTGGTCGTCAACATTATATAGCAGTATTATTTACTCGCAAAATACACAGCAAAAGAAAAACCTCTGTATAATTTGATTCTTACTAATGTTCCCTACTCATAATCATTCAGGTCATTAAATCAGTCAGCGATCTGGCAGCTGATGGCCATCGTCTACAACTATGCTAGGCAGCTCTTCGGGGCCAACCAAGCGACTGTTAGCCACCGCCGGCTCACCGTCGCTCTCCACGCTCTCGTGCCGGATAGGGCGGAGCAGCAGCCCCTGCAACCGCACTAAATAGCTTTGCCCTGCCGGCTGCGACCTCACATATCTCGTTGCTGCAGTTGCCGTTGTTACATCGCGGGTGCTGGCGGGTGGATGATCCGGCTCGCTGGTCGACCGGAGATTGTTCAACGCACTCAGGTCCAGGTTGGGGAAGACGGAGCACCGGCACCGTGGGCACTTGACATTCAGCCGGAGCCACTGGTCGATGCACTCCACATGGAAATTGTGCGCGCATGGTAGCCCACGGACCTGCATGGACATGGATTGGACCCATGAGGATACATAACTATTAAGAGCCTGTTTGGATCCATTAGTGCTAATAGTTAGCAGCTAAAATTAGCAAGTGAGGATCAAACAGACCTGCTGCTAACTATTAGCAAGTGGAGGTGCTAATAATTAGTTTATTAGTTGATGGAGGGATGCTAATAGTTCACATACATCTCCGATTAAGTATCCAACCACCTATTAGAAGGTGGATCTAAAGATCCCCTTGCTAATAATTAGTTAACGAATGCTTAATACTCCATCTGTTTCATCGTTTGTTTTTCTAAATACATAGATTTTATTATGCATCTAGGCATAGCATATATCTAAGTGCATAGCAAAAGCTATGTACCTGGAAAAGCTATAATAACTTGCAATTTGGAATAGAAGGAATAGTTTTCAGGTATTAGCTAACTACTTCACTGTTCCAAATTATACATCGTTTTGGATTTTCTAGGCACATAGCTTTGCTATGTATGGGCATAAGCATATATCTAAGTACATAGCAAAAACTATGTACCTAGAAAAGCCAAGTGACTTATAATTTGAAACGGAGGAAGTAACTATTAGCACTAGTGGATCCAAACAGGGCCTCAATTGATTGATGTCGAGACAAGTCTATAGGAGTTGATTTTACCTCATTGCCAACATGAAATTCTTCAAGGCAGATGGGACATTCACTGCAGTCCGTTGGAACAGCTTTCAGCCTAAATTTTGGAAGCTCTTGAATCAGTGCCTCAACTGCTTCTCTCTGCACAAAAAGGATCCCTCAAAATTCAATGTATAATCCATTGAAGGAAATTTTGGTTCTAACATAATGCTAGTATAGAATACAGCAGATATAAGATGAGGTAAATGATACTCTAATGATTTTCTATAAGTGGAATTAAAAGAGTTTCAGTTTACTTCCCAAGGACTAGAGAAGAGCACTAGAAAATTCAAACATTCAAACAAGGAGCTTAAGCATTGATCTTCTAGCCCTTGAATGGAGATCATAATAAGGTACTACTGAACAACAGTAAATATTCCATGAATCTCTAGCCCTTGAGCATTTCGGTCTCTCTGCAGAATTACCACATTGCTCTTTTTTCATAGAATTACAGACATGTTCATTTCTAACAGTCAAGAAAATGCATAAATTTGCTAATCTAGACCTATTCCATGACCATACTGACAACTAAAAAGTCATGCCACCATTGAATCTACAGCTAAGCATATAAGGAAATATTTTAGCCATAAAGTAAAAACTTGTGCAAGATTACCCAAATCGATTCACCTGAGCTGCAGTTAAATAAAGACCAGGATGATATGCAGTATCTTGGCCCACTCTCATTTCCAGGCCAACAGCCTCAAATGCCCAGTCAGGAACACGGATCATATCAACCAAAACCTGCACAAAGAAACACCTTAGGCCTCCTTTGGTTCACCGGATTTCCAAAGGAAAAATGCAGGAATCGGTAAGAACCCCCAATAAATTTCATATAACTATGTTATACCACTAGAATAAACACACTCAATTATAGATTGAGAAACATGTACTGTCGGGGACCAATACTATGGTACCCGAAGAGGAGCTAATGACCATCAACATTGATTCGTCCGCGCAGTCAAGAGCGTGACTAAGCCTCTCGCCGGGCTCCGCCTCGTCCGGCGACCGAGGCCACGGGCCCTGCCTCGTCTGACCCCGAGGGTTGGCTCCGCCTTGGTGGGCGCTGCGGCCGCAGGCTCCGCCTCACCCGACCCCCGAGGGCTGGCTCCGCCTCGGCTGACTCCCGAGGGCTGGCTCCGCATCGCCCGACGTCTGAGGGCGGGCTCCGCCTCGTCCGACGTCTGAGGGCTGGCTCCGCCTCGCCCGATCCCTCGGGCACGGATCCTTACGGAAGCTCACGACAACCACTACGGTCCAGAAGGTATGACCTAAGGTCAAACTTCTGAAATTGTGCAGGGAGCGGTCACATCTCAGCACGACCCGTCCCTACAACATGTTATTCCAGGGAACTCACATCGCCCACAGTGATGGGCGCGTGGTCACTGTGCTGCCTACTCCCTATATGACCGCTGATCAGCACGCTGGTTCGCCGCGCCGCTCGTCGGGGTGGAGTGGGACGTGACGACCCGCTGACAATGCCAAGGCATGGCATTGTCAGCGGACAAGCGCCCGGCGTGGGGCTGTCCCTGTCACCGCCTACCATGTCAGCGGGGCCCGCACGGAGGAAAAGGAAGAACCGGCGACCCTGAAGGACTTCCCTTGCCTCTCATGTCCCTCGCTCTCCCATCTGTCACCTGTTCTCTCGGTCTATAAAAGGAAAAGCAGGGCACCCTACTAAGGGGCATCGATTCACGACATCGCACATCACACCGCATCACAGCAGAACCACTAGCATCGAACCTCGAACACATAGCTGAGCAGTGACCGAGCTCTCGGCACCCATTCGATCTTTCCATCAGAGACTTGGGACCTGTCCCTCTCTCGTCCGTTTGTAATCCTTACTATGAACTTTTCAATGCTAATAACACGAGCAACAGCCACGAACTGGACATAGGGATATTCTGTCCGAACCAGTATAAACCTTGTATCTTTTTAGCACACCATCCGGGCCAGACGCGCAATAATACAAATTTACCCGTTGGTGTTTACTCGAAACACCGACGGTTGGCGCGCCAGGTAGGGGCCTTTGCACGTCCCGATATTAACATCTGGCCACGGATGGCTAATCACGACATCAGCTGAGTCCCGGGCGCACACGTACGCTTCGGGGACCTGGACTTCATCGTCACGACGGAGGGAGAGCTGGCGCGGGCGCCCGTCGTCGTTCAACCCTTCCACTCCACCGGCCTCGACGTGATCACCGAGATGCTCGAGGAGCTGCGGCTGCATGCGCTGAAGGCCCGCGCCCCCAGAAGCAGCCAGCTCCTCGACTTCGACTACGAAAGGTTGGAGCGTCAGCTCGACGTCTTCTTGAGACCCCAACCGTCCCTGGAGGACCTGCGCCACCTCACCTCCTCATTCACCAACGTCATGGCGCAGCTTACCGGGAGAGCCGTTCTCCCCGGAATACCTCATCCGGAGCACCCCGACAGTGCTCCCGTTCGGTCTCTGCAACGCCGCAGAGACTGTTGGCCATCTTGTGGCGCAACGCATGATCCCGTCCCCCGCGAACGAGTTCGTGGGGGTGATCGAATACGTCGTGGAGTCTTTCCACAACCTCCTCGCAGAGGAGGCGGAGTCGCCCTCTGGCTCTGACTCAAGCCGGGGGAGCTATCACCCCTCTCGTGAATGCTTCATGACAGGTACCCCCGAGGGACACGTCGAAAGCATCCACGAGGAGGCTACCCCGACGAACGACCTCGACAACGAGGCCGAGGGGGAGACAGCGGCCCCACCTCGCATGCGGGTGGAGCAACCGAAAGCCTGACACCAAGAGCTCGAGGAAACACGACTCCAGCTCGAGCAAGAACGCGCGGAGCTCGATCGGGAGATCGAGCGCCACAGAGACGGTGGGCGCGCACGCGCCATGGCCCGCGACGTGAACCGGAGGATCATCGCGGACGATGAAGCCCTCCCTCACTTCGCCCGGACAAGCCAGAACATCGCCGCTGCGGCGGCCTTGCTCTATGGTCTTCCAGAGGCCGCGAGATTAGCACGCTGCTCGAGCGTGCGGCGGCGCAGCAGGCCGAGAGCTCGTTGTCTCGCCGACGCGAGCTCGATACCAGCCAGCGCACGCCCTCGGAGCGCCCCGGTAGGAACGCATCGGTCCACCAGGCGCCACAAGGCGGTAGGCAGCGCACCGCGGTCCCGGTGCATCAGCGTCTCGGCCGCAACCGTGACGCACGCAATACCCTCGACGCCCGCAGGCGTACCTACAACGACCCGAGAGAGGGAGCTAGCCGCGGCTATCACCCTCGTCGTGGCGGACGCTACGACAGCGACGAGAACCGAAGCCCGAGCCCCGGTCTGCCGGGGCCTCAGGCCTTCGGCCGACACATCCTCAACGCTGCCTTCCCGCCAAGGTACCAACCACCAACCGACATCCCGAAGTATTCTGGGGAAACGAAACCCGAACTCTGGCTCGAGGATTATCGGCTTGCTTGCCAAGCCGGTGGTGCGGCTAATGACGATTTCATTATCCGCAACCTTCCATTGTTCTTGGCCGATTCGGCACGAAAATGGTTGGAACACCTTTCGTTCAACAGAATCCAAAGTTAGGTAGACCTGAAGTTCTTCGTGGGAAACTTTCAGGGCACATACAAGCGCTCTGTGAACCCATGAGACCTCAAGAACTGCCGACAGAAGGCCAGAGAAACACTCCGTGGGTACATCTGGCGCTTCTCCCGGCAATGCAACGAGCTACCTAACGTCGCCGACGTTATAGGAACTTTCCTGTCTGGGACCACCTGCGAGTCCCTGGTTCACAAGTTGGGACGCAAGGGCCCGCGAGCCACCAAGGAACTCCTCGACATCGCCACCAGCCACACCTCGGGAGAAGAAGCGGTCGGAGCGATCTTCGACCGCCTTAAGGGCAAGGCGAGGCGGGACGAGGACGTCGGCGAAGGCGTCTCCAATCGTCCCGCCAAGAAGAACAAGCAGCGGCGCAAGGGCTCGCTCGTGGCCGCCGCTAACCACAGGGGTGGTCGGAAGCCCGCGGAGGGCACTACGAACCACTTCGAGAAGCTGCTCGAGGGGCCATGCCCGAACCATGCCTTCCCCGTCAAACATCTGTTCAAGGATTGCGGCCTCATGAAGCGGTTCTTGTCCGGAGGCTCCAACAAAGGGGAGCACGGGAAGGACCCCGACCCGACCACGGACAATGCCGAGGGGAAGGACGGCGGCTTTCCAACGCCGGATGGCTGCCTCATGATCTTCGAAGGGTCGGCAGCCTACGACTAAGTGCCGCTGGAAGGTCGCGCGCCATGAGGTCTATACGACCGAACTGGCCACGCCTACATTCCTCCGGTGGTCGAAGTCCGCCATAACCTTCGATCGAACCAATCACCCGGAAAGTTGTCCCGCAACCGGGGAGGTACCCGCTTGTAGTCGACCCGATCGTCGGCATGAAGCGGCTCACCAAGGTACTGATGGATGGAGGCAGCGGCCTCAACATCATGTACGCCGAGACGCTCGACGCTATGGGCGTCGACCGAGCGCGCGTCCGGCCAACCGGAGCGCCTTTCCATGGCATCGTGCCTGGAATGTAGGCCGTACCGCTTGGGCAGATCGATCTGCCCGTCACCTTCGGGGGTCCGTCCAACTACAGGACGGAGACCCTCACCTTCGAAGTGGTTGGGTTCCACGGAACTTACCACGCCATCTTAGAATGACCATGCTACGCGAAGTTCATGGCCGTCCCAAACTACAGCTACCTCAAGCTGAAGATGCCGGGCACCGACGGGGTCATCACCGTCGGCACCTCCTTCAAGCGCACCTACGAGTGTGAGGCCGAGTGCTGCGATCACGCCGCGGCAATCGTCGCCTCTGGAGCTCGCGACCATCAGGAAGGAGGTCACCGAAGAAGGGCCCGACCCCAAGAGGATGACCGGGTCTTTCGAGCCAGCGGAGGGCTCCAAGGAGGTCCTCATAGATCCCAGCAACCCCGAGGGCAAGGTGGTGCGCATTGGCACCACGCTTTCCTCTATATAGGAAAGCGCGCTCGTCGACTTCCTCCGCGCCAACAAAGACATCTTTGTGTGGAAACCCTCGGACATGCCAGGCATTACGAGGGAAGTCGCCGAGCACGCCTTGAAGATCCGCCCAGGCTCCAAGCCAGTGAAACAGCGCCTGCGTCGCTTCGACGAGGGGAAACGCAGTACCATCGGCGAGGAGATCGCAAAGCTTTTGGCGGCCGGATTCATCAAGAAAGTATGCCACCCAAAGTGGTTAGCCAATCCCGTTCTTGTACGAAAGAAGAGTGAAAAATGGAGGATGTGTGTTGACTACACGGGTCTCAATAAAGCGTGCCCAAAGGATCCGTTTCCTTTACCGCGCATAGACCAAATAGTCGACTCTACCTATGAGTGCGAAACTCTCTGCTTCCTTGATGCGTACTTCGGGTATCATCAAATCGCGATGAAAGAGTCCGACCAACTCGTGACATCTTTCATCACCCCCTTCGGATCGTTCTACTACGTCACAATGTCGTTCGGTCTGAAGAACGCTGGGGCTACGTACCAGCGTTGTATGCTAAGTGTTTTAGGGATCTCATCGGGCGGACCACATCGTTGACGACATCGTGGTCAAGTCCAAACGGACTGACGACCTCGTAGCCGATCTTGAGCAAACCTTTGCAAAACTCCGAGCAAACGGCATCAAACTCAATCCCGAGAAGTGCGTTTTCGGGGTCCCGAGGGGCATGTTGCTTGGTTTCATCATCTCCGAACGTG